GTCTTCAGGGAGTCTCGGGACGCTACAGCACTATAGCTTATTTTGGTGCTTATAAAATGCATTGACAGATGAATCTGAAGTTGCTCCTGAATGGAAATCGGATGTAGGTCTAGGCAGCTCTGAAATAAGTGCGAAGTGGGAAAAGATTAGAGGAGGAATGTTGGTGCCGTTAATCCCAATACACTTAGCTCAATTAAGGATGTACAAGTAGAAAGTTGTGTGCGCTAATTCGAGCATGTCTTGTTTTATTTTTAAAAATGATTAATCATAAATAGAACGATTTGGACCCTTAATGCGCCGGTATTTAACATAAAAACGTGTTTATGTAGCTACACATTTTCATAGTGTGTGGACCTTTGTAATGCGATAGTGGTTTATCCCTCGGCATTGGCGAGGCGCAACTTTTGTACGTTGAATTAGCCCCCTTGTACCTCGCTGGGCGGGCTGGCCTTTTGAGCGATGCCAATAGCCCAGACACCTTCTCCGTCCTGAATATATATATTCTGCCCGAGTATTGTGCCTTCTTTCGTCTTCATGGAGTCCTGGGACGCTAAACTTTTGTCGTGAACTTCTCAAATAAGTGTCATATCTTTTGGCGAATCACGCATATATGCTTACATGACATTAATACGAATCTCGGCATGATTATTTAGACGATCATTTTTTTATTTTTTGGCCTAAGTTATAAAGTTAGTGGAGTGGTTTTAATGGAATGACCATTTACTTTGGTCTTCTTCCACCGTTTTCAGTTTAAATTTGGCTTCTTGTGTCTATATTTGGGAATAAATACATACAATATCCACATTTTCTAAGGTGACTACCTTATTAATTTTACTTAGTGCTTTAGAGAACGTGTAACGTGTTTTAAAATTTAATTTTTCCTCAAAAATTTTGAATTTTCTTGTCGATCTTTGTTTTAGCAAACGCCCACTTTTGAACTAACTAATTGGTGTATGGTGTTGGCACGCTTTGCACTTTCGCTCATTCGTCTGCTGTTGTGGTTATAAGGTCTATTTATTTAGCAAAGTGCGGGTTCCTTTTTTTGTACTTTTTCATCTTCTGTTTATTGATTGGTTAATTGGACCTGGTTGTTACTTGTGTTTTCATTACTGCTGGTCCCTGTGCCTTCACTAGTATGGTCCTGTCTTTTTTGCCTCCTTTGATTTTTTTAACATTCGTTAATGCTTCGTCAGAAATCGGTGTTAATTATTGTCAATATCTGGACCTTTAGTGGTCCATAATGTTTGCTTCTGTTGCGTAGAGTATTGGCATCTTACTTACCGACATTATGCTTCAATTCCTTTCCTAACGATTACTGAAAATAGGCATTGCTTTTATCGTGGGGGTTATGTACATATTTTTTATTAAATGTGGCTACTTATTAGTTATTATCTGTTTCGCTGTGCTTAGTATCCCCTTTGTAGATAAAATGGCAATGACATCGCGTTTGTATACCGCTGCTTACAGTTCAAGTGATGATGAATCAAGTGACGAAATTTCGGGCAAGGCCCCTATGAAGCGCTTTATGCGCCCTGTCCAAAGTGACAGTGAGGATGAAAAGCGCGTCGTACGTAGCGCTAAAGACAAACGCCATGAGGAAATACAAAGCGTTCTGAGGAATCTTAACAACCATAAGAAAATCAAGGATATATCCAAGGTTGAGACAGACTTCGACGAGTTGGTAAAACTCTACGAAAAGGCTCATAAAATGAACGAAGTTGATATCTATCCAAAGTTTTACATTCGAGTTCTTGCTCAAATGGAGGATTTTGTTAATGAATCGTGGAGTCAAAAAAAGACACTCAGCAAAGTGGCAGCTAAGTCGCTCACTATCCTTAAACAAAAAATCCGCAAATATAATAAGGATTTCGAGGAACAAATTAAGAAATATCGCGAAAATCCTGAGTTGTTTGAGGAAGAGGCCGAAGAGGAAATTGAAGAAGGAGAGGAATTGCAGGGGACGGAGGAAGCCATTACTAAGCCTGGGGTGCGTTATCTGTGGTTGTGTTCCTTTATACCTGACCCATAATTATGGTGGATTTTTTTCCCTTTAGGTAACACTAGCTCCCAAAGCCTCTGATGAGTCCTTGGATGATGAGGATGACTACTTTCGAAGCTCTGATGAATCCGAATCGACTGATAGCGGTCCTGAAATGGATATGGAGCATCCTTACACATACTTCTTGAAAGTTGAAGGAAAGCCTAAAAAGGTCGGTAGTATTTTGGTTCTCCAACGTAACTTGGTTGGTGTGCGTGTATACATTATATTGATTAAGGCTTTTAATAATTAAGGAGGAGACGAAGAAGAAGGCTCCCAAACCGAAACCTGTGAAACAGGTAGCGAAGCTTAGCAGCGAGGAGAGTGGTGATGAATGGCGTGTTGTTGCTCCGGGAGACGGTTCTGCGCTCGAGCCCACGGTGCAGGCCTTTGAGAAAGGTGTTGAAATTACTCAGGAGTTGGTGATCAAAAAAGTTACCGAAATCATTGCTAACCGTGGCAAGCGTACCTCTAGTATTGCTGAACAAATCTGTCTTCTTGATCAAGTTTGCCAGAAAGCAGGTTAGTCTGCTTTGTAGTATTTTGCTGGTGAAATCTTTCGTATTTATTTACCACTGTTCCCTTATTGAATTTTTTTAGAGGAATTACGTTTTGGTGTTGGTGTTAACGTAAAAGCTATCTTGTCCTTAATTACCGTATTCTTCGACTACGAGTCAAGGCATCCTGCGTTTATGCCAGTTGCGAAGTTTCAGAGGTTTGTTGGGTGCCATGTTTTAGTACTTATACTACAACTTTTTACCGCTACTTTGCTTCCACTTTAGGACCATCGAACAGCTCAAAAAACTTTTCGAAATTCTAAAAAACAACCCGAAAGATCTCGAGATTTCAGAATCTATAACGGAGGAGACTGAATCTGTTTTGGTAAGTAGATGCTCTATTTACGTCCCGAGTTTTCAGCCAATTAAAACGGTAATATGCGAAGGATTTTTCTGTCCTTAATTACGATAAACCTGATGAAATTCCAATGTGTGAGAAATTTTTCCCCATGTTAAATAGTGAGTGACAGCTGCACCACCTTTCTATCCTCCCAATATTGTTAAGGATTCATTGTATCAGGTGTTAGTAGCGTATTATATTTCATTTTGTTCTGCACAATAATTGGCCTCAATAACTTATGTTAATATTTTGAGCTCCTTTTAGGAACGTCCCTATCGAATTCGTGGCTCAATTTTGGGTTGTGTTGGTCGACTGGATGATGAGTATTTCAAGATTCTACAAAATGCCAATGGTCACGAAATGGAGTATGACGAAAGGTATGTCGTTTCCCTCACTCATTATACTATGCTAATCCAAGGTGGACTGTTCACCTCCTTGATATTTTTATCCGTTTAAATGTTTGGTTTTGTTGATAAGTCATGTGTAAGCTCCGAAAGTGGCTTAAGATTCTTTTTGAATATTCTGTCCATTGTCTTTAGACTGCGAGATGAGCCAAGAGTCTGCGAATTGATCGACTCGCTCATCGAGTACCTTGAACGGATTAAGGCCCCCCCTGAGGCCTTGTGTGTGGCTTACCTGCGCAAAGTCGAACATTTGTATTACAAAGTGAGCAAACACAGTTCCTCCTTTGTAGCTTCGCATTAACCACGATCTTTGGTCTGTGCTAAGCTCTACAGTTAGCGTTTCAACTTACTCATGTCATGGTAGCTACCTTTTTAAGGTCAGTCATAGCGTTTAGCTACATGACTCATGCCTTATTCATCTCCATTATCTCTGCATTAGTTTGATTTTGAGTGGGGAAAGAAGGTGGAGTCTGAGGGGCTCGAGGCTGCAGGATTGAATCCTTACTACGAGGTGGTAGAAAGGCTCTGTCACTACATCTACAAGAATGATAAAACCGATCGTCTTCGTACACGTGCCATTCTCTGCCACATCTACTTTCTCGCTCTCTTTGATCACTGGTACAAGGCGCGTGATCTGATGCTTATGTCTAACCTCCAGGCCACCATCGATCATGCCGACCATTCCACTATGGTATGCTTTACTTTGCTCATTTCCCAACTTAGGCAAGAAGAGTGTTGTGGCTGAGGCAAATCCGTACTATTGTAGATTCTCTACAATCGTGCCATGGTGCAAATGGGTTTGTGTGCATTCCGTCAAGGCCACATCAAGGATGCGCACTCCGCTCTCTCCGATTTGACCGGTTCCAACAAAATCCGCGAGCTGCTGGCCCAGGGTCAGCGCTACGAGCGCACTCCGGAAGAAGAAAAACGTGAAAAGGCTCTCCAGATGCCTTACCATATGCATATTAACACGGAACTCATTGAGACTGTCTTCCTTATTTGTGCTATGCTGCAAGAGGTCCCTATTCTTGCTGGTGAGTTCCTTTTTTGTAAGCCAGCTCCTCGGGGACTTTGGATAGCAAATCATTAATTTTGATTCATCTTTCAGCTTCACAAGATGATATCCGGGCGCGTGTCTTCAGCAAGGCCTTTTTAACTGTCCTAAGGATTCATGACAGGGCCACATTAATTGGTCCGCCCGAGTCCCCGAGAGATCATGTAATCGCTGCCTCCAAAGCCATGCGGTTTGGCAATTGGCGCAGCGCTGCAAAGTACATATTCAGCCCTAAAATGGACGCCAAGGTATGATATACTTCCTTTCGATCACCCCGTTTTTCTCATGACATTGTTTTGTGCAGATTTGGGTCCTGTTCTATGACCAAAATAGTGTGAAGAGGATGCTGGAGGAGAAGATTAAGCAGGAGTGCTTGAGATGCTACCTTTTCGCCTACTCCTCGGTCCACGAGTCGGTTAGCCTCTCAAGGCTGGCTGAACACTTCGAATTCCCCAGATCCCAAATCTACTCTATAATTAGCAAAATGATAATCAATCAGGAACTTGCCGTAGGTCCATCCTTTTATCCCATCCTTGTTGCGGGTTTTAGCTGTGTGTGATATAAGTCCTCCTTGATGCAAGTTTGAGAGGGTGCTGACGTTGATTTACCATTAGTATTGATCAATGACTTGGTTTCATGCGTGCCATGTTTGATTCTCCTTGTCAAGGCCTCCCTAGAAGTTCCTGCGGATTTCCTCACGATGCATAAGGGTGAGCGATCTCGATTGCAAAACTTGGCTATTCAACTGGCAGATAAGGTGAACAGCATCGTGGAAATGAACGAGAAGCTGATTGATAATCGCGGTGGCATGATTTCTGGACCTAAAGGTAGATATTTTACTACATTTTTTTTAAAAATTCTTATAATTCCTTGATATTTCATAATTATTCTTATTCGATTGTAGGAGTTTCAGCTTATCAAGGACGTAAGTGAAGGATGCACTTGTAGCTGTAAATTCGACAATGGCTCGAGTGTTGACGAGCTTTTCATTTGTCTGGAAAATTAGTTTTTTTTTTTAAACTTATCTGTATTTGCAATCTGCCCAGGTCGTCATTTCTAAGGTAAGTTAGTGAAGCAATCGCACAAGAAATTGATCTTACAAGTTTTTTTTTGCAGTGGACTTATCCCTTGCATTCTAAGCATGCGTGAATTTCTCTGAAACAACTTAGCCTAATCAAGCAGCTTTCAACCATAATAATGACGATAGGAACTGAAGATCGCTGTCCACATAACATTTTCGACTGAATTGTTAGTTTTGTTCATGGTTTTAGTATTATGCGCCTCATAATGGTGTGACTTTTTTGTCAATGGGCGTATCTTAGATGACACACTGTCTACTCTTGATTACCAGCACTATTATTTATTATTTATTGCTAAATTTAACATAAGGGTAATGCCCTTTTTTCAGAACGTCGACAGAGGTTTGTACAGGCTCCAAAATTCATCTAAGAATTGGTCTTTCGTGAAGACATCTTCACCTTGACTTTTTCATTGTCATTCGCCTCTGCCTCGCTGTCATTAGTTTCTATTCAATGCTATCTAACATTTTGGCGTCGTACTGGTCTATCCTTGTATCCGATCTGCACTCTTCGTGCCGGTACCCTTGAATTCCGCGCACTTGTGGTAGTATGCACTAGTTGGCAGTTGCTTGCAGTTTGCGTTAGACTTCCTCGACGGCCTGTCGGTACGCTCGCGTTGAAGCAGGTTTGCTGGGCGTTGAATCGGCCGTCGACTCTCGGGTCGCGTTTAACTGGGCGGGCTGGCTCTCGTTGTTGTTAGTCCGTGCTGGGGTCGGGACGACGACTGTTCGGGTCGGTCCGCGGGCTGGACGGGTGTGGGGGTCGGTGTTGGCTTGTACGTTCTCGAGCTTGTTTCGCAGCACAGTGGGGCGAGGATGGTGCTTGTCTGTAGTGGTGCTTATTTTGTCACAAGTGATTTATATTAACCCGCGAAGTCCTTTTCTTTGATTTTTTGGGGTTTTATCATTTGCATGTGGCTTTAAAATATGGGGAGTATGATTGTTTTAATTAACCAGATCCAAAATACAACAAAACATAAAGAGCGCCACTGGAAGCCATTGTGGAGGCGGCTCGTTATTGGCTAGTTTGAAAACGAGGCGTTTGTGTTATGTCTGGACGTGGAAAAGGTGGAAAGGGCCTTGGGAAGGGAGGAGCAAAGCGGCATAGGAAGGTTCTTCGCGATAATATCCAAGGAATAACTAAGCCTGCCATCCGTCGTCTTGCACGTCGTGGTGGCGTGAAGCGTATCTCCGGTCTCATCTACGAGGAGACCCGCGGTGTACTGAAAGTCTTCTTGGAAAGCGTTATACGTGACGCTGTCACTTATACCGAGCACGCTAAACGCAAGACCGTCACAGCCATGGACGTAGTTTACGCACTAAAGCGTCAAGGGCGTACGCTATATGGCTTCGGTGGTTAGGCTTGGCACTCCCCCGCACTTGTACTCCCCTTGCCATTACCTTAATCCTGTGTGTCGTTTCTTAATCATAATACATCCACATTCATTGTTGTTTTACCATATTGGATGCCTTGTCGACGGCGCGTCGTGGGGAGCTAGCTTCCACAACGACCTGACCCCCACGCTGGCCATTCCGCCAACTTTCGCGCACCATCTCTACTTCAGCATACCCGTAGTGCTCAAATGTGGGTTTGCAGCACGCTCATACATGTGCGGGCGCCATCGACTCCGTAACGAATTTAGCGAGTGACCTCGCATCGATTCTGTCTCGACGGTAACCTACGTCAGTTAGTCTAGCTACGTAGTCTTTTGGCTTCCCTTGACGAGTAGAACAGGTCCCCACTTCAGTAATGAGCTTTTGTACCCCGCAATTAGTATTAAATGAATATGACTTTGAGAAAGTGGTAATTTAAGTGACGTTCGTTTAGGGGGATCACAGTCGAGCGGCAGATTGGTGCTGGCCGGCTGGCTCATACACCAACGGGGAGGTGGGGTCGGGCGGGCACCAGGGTGTCTTCCGGGGGTGGGAGGGCAGAGAGCAGGTTTGTGATTAGTATTGTTGCGAAACAGGTGAAGACGACAAGCCCAAATATGTAAAGAAGTCGGCGTCGGTAGGAGAGCCGCGGTGCGGTCGAGGGGATGCAACGCGTCAAGCTAAAACCCAAACAACGTAGTTTTAGGGTATCGATAAGTTCACATCTGGTAAATTTTGTAATACGTGAAGAATTATTCCCGAAGGTATGCCGGTGGAGGAGGAACTTCTTTTCTTGTAGATGTCAAAAGAAATACACCACAAAGACCAGCACACGTCATATGGAGGATTGGGTCAGCTTTAAATCTACATTACAAATGGATACTTGGCAGTGCGACGAGGACATGAATCTGGACACACATCTACAGCAAATTCGAAATGACTAAAGCTGAAGAACATACGAGATTTAACCAGAATCCGGCCACAATGACCTGTTTCCATTTACACAACTGGCTTATTGTAAAAAAAACAATATAAAGCACCACAAGGCGCATCACGCATTCTATCAAGTGTGTATAAGACGTACTCACCCCAGAAGTCGACCATTGGAGTTGAAGGGTGGAACCGGACGACGTCTATATTTATCTGCATCCTCGTCGTCAATTACTAAGTTGCGAGGATTTGCAAACTTTTGTAAAGGTTGTTTTGGGTCGTCAAGACAGTTGCCCTTGTACTCAAACCGGGATTTTGACGAGGTGTCAACTGTAGGGCATTCAATGGGCACCACTGTCTCCGCCGACTTGGGAGATGGCATTGTAGGAGGGGTGACCATCTCTTGATCACGAAGAAATTGACTTGCATAGGTATCCACTGATGTATCAAGAAGTTTTGAATCTAAGTGGAAACGTCACTTTCACTACATGTTCGATTCTAAATCAATGAGGCGCGTTCCTTACCATCAAAGGCGGCAAGGGTTTCGTTGGATCTGGGCTGGACTGCAGCCTTTGATTTTGGGAAGGAAGCCTTCCCTTGGCGGTTCGGTTTCGCCCATTTAGCAGACAAAATCTTTTGACGCAAGGCTTCGGCGACAGGGCCGCCCTGGTTTGTGAGTGGTATTATGCACATGGAGCAAGACGGACACTCATAACCAGCTGGCGCCGTTGTCGCTGGAAGCTGCGAGGCATAATTGTCTAAACACCGCCAGTGGAAAATATCTAAGGGGGGGGGGGGTCATTGGAAGAAAGACACTCACCCAAACACAATAAACGAATACACTCTTCGCCATTATCAAGTTCTTTGGAACAAAGTGAACATTGCGACGAATAATCACCATCCTTGAGCCAATTAAGATAGGATTTAACCACGCACTAAGACAAAAATAAACGCTTAACTTTCACAACCTTAGGGTGGCTCGCTATAAGGCAGAACTCGCATACATTAACGCGATGCTCAAAGCAGAAGAGATTGGTGACCTTCTTCCGTTTACATTTGCAAAGACCCATTTAGAAGCAAATGGTAAGGAAGAGACCAACCTAACCCCGGTCTAACTTTCGCGGGTTTCAAGTAGTGCGCTCCTAACGTTTGAAAGTCGGGTTTCTGGATATATATCTTGCGCTCATCCAAACATTTTACTAAATCAAGAGCAAATCTAAAGTAAAGCTTGAAGGCGTTTAGTAATAATTATAGGTACAGAGTTTTTTGTAATTAAAAAACTTAAGAAAATGTAGGATTTATACAATATCGTAGTAATTTAATACTTTCGCCGAAAGCAGAAAATTTTTAAACACCTTTGCAAGCGCTCAGTTTTGACATAAGGGCAAAAGTGATAAATGCTTTTAGCAATTACCCTAATTCAGTGTCCTGAAAGAGCGCCATAGCAAACGCACCAGCGATTTACCTGAGCGACTTGGACCAGTAAATTAGCTAGGTGCTTGGGGGAGCCGCATGAGGATAACAATGGCAATTTTCGTCCACCTCTAAAATAAGCACATTGCGCGAAAGAGTGCATATGTGGATTAACCGTTCCGAAAACCCGCCTCAAGTTTTTATCTTTTAATAAGTGGCTTTAGTTTAGGTCAATGCTTTCACGACTAGCAATCAGCATGCGAGTTGCAAAGTCAGCGCAAGTCATTCTCTCTAATGCGGTCAACCAATGGTACGAAGCTTCCGACACGGTGAGCTGTGTACACGCTTCAACTATGATTGGATCAAATGTCTTCCTAAACGCGGTGTTTCGGTGGTTGGTGTCCTTAGTTTGCGGGTGGTTTCTAAATCCCATTCTGCTCTGTGATAGTCAGTACGAGAGATCAAACAAACATAGATTTAGTGAACCCTTCTCAAATAAAGTGAAAGACTATGTGTTTACTTGCCACTTTGTTAGGCCATTTTCATCTACTCACGCCCTCAACTCTGCTAGCTGTAACCGGCCTTTGGGTTTTCGCGCTTGGGCTATATTTTTATACCCGTGCTTATCCGATAATTTATAAAGAAACACGTTTTTCCACATTGCTTCAAACTACTTGTACTTTACCGAAGTCTTGGAATAAAATATGTACCAAAGGCAAAATAATGCTACTAGTCGAAGCCTTTTGAGTGAACTAAGAAGGGACGTGCATGGCGTTGTTTTGGGGGTTTACTGCATACTCATATGTGTGCATGCATGTGGTGCACATATAAGCCTTTCATGTGATAAGCGGTCAGCTTACACTAGCCTCATGGCTGGGTGAATGTCTCTCTCTGAAGGAGAAAATAAAAGCGGAAGACCTTGAAATGGGATAACTTCTACAATCCTCGTACTACACTACTTACGATATCGTCTTCAAGTTAATCCTTTTGTTCCGTCGATCTGGTTCATAGGGTGGAAGCGGTACCCGCCGGAAGTATTGCGCATGCACATCTGATCCTAACAAATTACCTTTAGCAAGCCAAAGTTGTAATTATAGTTATTGTTCGTTATTTATGTTCATACGTTAATTTGTCATTTGGAATCCTATCATAATTTATCGTCTACAGAGGTCCGTATAGCCCAATGTGCTAGGTTCCCTGATATTTATAGGTCAAACTTTGATTTATTATAAATTACTCACTTCATTGCCTTGTTGTCTAGGACATTTGTTCTCACCTGAAAATTTCCATCATTTGAATGCTCTATTTGGGTGTATTCACATTCGGTCATCGGTTTTAAAACTGTTTGGGCAAACATTTTTCTGGTTGGATGATTCCCTTGTATGTTTTATTCGCGTTGCCTATTTACCAATTAAAGACGTTCTCTAGGCCGGCTTTGGTCAGGGTTTAAGAAAACATACAATGATATCAATCCTGCTACACTTACTGGAGCCAACGACATAATTATTGTGGAAGATAAGAGTGGTAATTTCAGGTGTGGACCGTTCCATGTTCGATTTGGTAAAATGGGTGCAATCAACCCAACCGATAAGCTCGTTGAGATTTACATAAACGGGCAGCAGGCCGTAAACCTACATATGCGTTTAGGTAGGGCTGGATGTGGCTACTTTGTGGACTATGTCGAATCGCTCTTTTCTGACAGTGATTCTGATTTACCATCAGCGGAAGGATTTTTTGATTCAGGAAAGCCCATTGGACGCATTCGTTCAGCTGAAGATGTTAATGGAAAGACTTTAAATCCACATAAACACCCTCTACGCGTTAAAAAGCCAAGGAGGGATGCGTCCGTCAGCGAGTCCCAGTCAAATACGGAGGAGGATGTTAAATACTACGTTTCCTCTCCCACTTCACCTGAATGTCTGTCGGATAGTGAAGTGGGAAGTCAATCTCGTGGAATGGTTCAGGTTTGTGGTGATATGGATTCAAGGAGATTTGGTGCCATTTCAGATGTGGGGCATATTGTTCAAAAAGACCCAACCGTTGGTGATTCAGTCTCAAAGAGTTTTCAGACTTGTCAAGCTTCTGATCAAAAGGGTGTTTACTTGGAAGATCTTGTGACGCCATCAGTTGATGAAAATATTAAGCGAGCATATTTGTATGTTAGAAAATCGAATGAGCGTTTGAATCCGGGTCAGAAGGCTACTGATGCTGGATCTAAATCGGACTCAGGAAATGGTTCCTGCTTGAAGCTTGATTCCTCCAATAACTTGGAACTCAAAATCTCACTATGTGGTGGTCTTCCCACTGACGGTCAAATGGACCACGAACGCTTTTGCGCTCATTTGGTGACATTTGAGGAGTTTTCTAAGGATCCCGCTGGCGTCATTGCCAACCCAAATCTCGTCCTTTTATTTGACGGAAAATTTTATAATTGGAATACTGTTGCTCCTATGATACTGAGTCGTGTCTGCTTTCAAGCTGAATTACCGTACGGCTCTGTTCTTCGGTTAGAGGAATCCTTTATGCCAAAGAAACAACCACGCCGCAGAGCCTGGTTCACCTGGAGCACGAGCGGTCCCGAGTCACAGCCTACCGCGAGTACGGATGCTGATAAAACGACGGCCGAGGTTCCGCAAGAAACACGAAACGACCATCCTCCATCTGCCACTGCTTCCTTGGCTGAGGAGTGCCAAGTGCCTCAACGCAGAATCACTCTTACTTCAAGAGAGGTGGAGTGTCTGGGATTGAGACCAGGTGCGAATAACATTGAGTTTCGGATAGTCACAAAGTATCAGGGCACCGCCAGCTGCTTGGCAAAGATTTATCTCTGGCAATCAGATGACAAGGTGATTGTTTCCGACGTCGACGGAACTATAACCCGTTCAGACATTCTTGGCCACCTTCTCCCTGCGCTGGGGCGTGATTGGACCCACGAAGGAGTTGCTGAACTGTATTCCAGATTGGCTGACAATGGTTACAAATTCATTTATCTCTCGGCTAGAGCCATCGGTGAAGCAAATTTGACGCGGGGTTACATTGATCAGGTTTGTCAACGTGGTAAGTATCACCTTCCAGGTGGACCAATTCTCCTGTCGCCTACATCCCTACTCGATGCATTTCATCTCGAGGTGATCGCTCGGACACCAGAGTTATTCAAAATCGAGTGTCTTAAAGAAGTGAGGGAGTTGTTTGGACCGGACTCTAACCCTTTCTATGCTGCATTTGGAAATCGTATCAATGATGTGAAGGCTTACATTGAATCGGGTTTCGAATTAGGCCGAATATATACGGTGAATCCGGGAGGTGAGCTACGAAACGAGCGCCTACCCTGTGTCAGCAAGTCTTTCAACGACATGGTCAGTCTCGCTGATTACCTCTTCCCTTGTATTTCACCAAGGTTAGTCGAGTCGGATCTAATAGAGGCGAACGAAGAGGTCTCATTCACCGACTACAATGTCCCCACCTCTGATGTAGATATGTCCCTCTTTTCGTCCTTCTCCTTCTGGCGTGAACCCATTCCTTCCGAAACACCGACCCCCTCTTAGGTAGAATGGACAATCTTCGCTCCACGTGCATTTACTCTGACAGGCAAAAGTTGCTTGGACTTTTCTTATCTTGTCACTGTTATTTGTGGACCATTAAATTTTTTTGAGCACTTGCTTCTCTACTTAACGGCTCATGGTACTGTTTGACGTCCAACCTAATCGGGCGATCCATCCTTGACTAGATGTCAAATCCAAAACTGGAAGACGAATTCACTCGGGCTACGGCGTATGTGCCGAAAATTGCAGGATCTCTTTCCTCTGAAGATCTTCTTTATCTGTACTCTAGGTACAAACAGGTATGTCCTTTGTCTTCCCTGCAAAATTGTCATTTAAGGGTGGAGAGGTGTTGCCAATGAGCAAGTCTTAAGTGGGATGGCTTGTGACAATCAGGCATGGTGAATGATTTGACACATGGAATTATGGCATGAATGGGCGTCATAAGTTTACATCACTTTATTATCTTTATCGTGATGCAACATTTAGTGTTGATGAGTGCGCTTCTTTCGGTGCCTTTGCTGCCTTTTTTGAACTTTTATCGATTGCTTTGAAAGCAGTGAACGGTACTCTTATTTCATATAACACGAGTTCAGCCCCTTATGCCGTTAAGGTCAAGATGTCATAAGATTGGGTTGTTTTTCGATTCTGCCATTTTGTGAATATCATCAGGACCAATATTCATACATTATTTGACGTTGAATATAGTTATTGTTAGAATACTGACGAAAATATTATAGATGGAATCAGCCATTGTATTATTTCAGCTTGAATGTTGCAATGCCCAAGAATTGAGTAGCCAAACTGTCTTACTACCTATTAGATGCTGACCTTTATTAAACTGTTTCAGTAGATTGAGGTAGTCAACTTTAACTCAACTTTGATGCTGTTCAAATCGTGCTGGATCTATGCAATGTCGTAACATACGAAATGGATGATTATAGTCGTTTTCGGGGGCACAATGAGAGCTTTTGGACGCCTATTGTTAGAGTCGAGCGACTTTACTTGAAAAGCAAAGCGGTGGTGATAGTGTCGCATTCCCTTTTAAGAGTATTTCAGAACATACGAATTCCTCGTAATCTAGTAATTCTTAAAGGTGTTCATTATTGAATTGAATAGGAGTTTTTAATTTTCGCCTACACAGGGTCCGAAAATTGCTAAGTCGTATTAAGCTAAGTTCTGCATTTCAGTAAGATGCCTTTGTTTCTTGTTTAATATTATCATTTTGCCGAGTTCAATGGCACCAAACCATGCTAGACGTTAGGATGGACCCGTTGATAACACGCAGGCGTTATGCCTTATTCCCTCGAAAATCTGTAAAAATTTGATTCACATAGAGTTTCTAATCCGATTGGTACAGGTTGATTTAATGCTTTGACAAACCGCCGTTTAGAACCCCCTAATAAAAGTATGCTGAAATTTTCCATCTTATCGCTAATTTTAATAAGGTTTTGATATCCAATAAGCAGTTAATTACTTTAGATAGGCAGCGATTTTTGCCACCTCTTCTTTTACAGGCAACAGAGGGTCCGTGTAGCACACCAAAACCGGGATTTTCGCAGTACAAGGCACGCCAAAAATGGTAGACAACTAAGACCAGTGAAAGAGGTGTACTCCTCCTCTCTTCCTGCTATCGCAAGTCTGCGCGCATTTCCTTTTCAGGATGGCTTGGAAGAGTCTAGGCAACCTCCCTGCGGATGATGCAAAGCAGCAGTACGTACGGAAACTGACGGAAATTTCACCCGATTGGAGCAGTGAGGTGACGCTAAAGCTACATGATGGGGCTTTGATTTAGGCATTTTTAAAAAAGTTTTTTGGCAGTGGATACCATATTTCCGAGTACTATTTAGAACGTTTCTGTCCCTAGTCCGAACGACTCCACTGTTTAAAAAAACTATCGAATTGTGTAGATGTCGGGCATAGTTCACCTCAATCAGGCTGAAAGCTGTCAAATGCGATACCGTTTTATTGCGACAGCTCATGATGCATGACCGTCTCCCCTTGATTCATTTGAAATATGCATAACGCAACTCACTTTCTTTATTAGGACTTCAAATTTGCTACAAAGAGTTGGTTGGCGGATATAAGGACTAGCTCAGAGAATTTTATAATTAGCCATAATCCTGTCGCACTTTATTCTATCTTGCATGAAGTCTTCTTAGTAAAAAGACGTTCAACAGAAAGACACAAAGCAGCTCTTTCCATTTGTAGAGCTGCGAGATAACGCCTTGAAGCCTACACTTAAGTTTCGAATTTCCTTTTAGCATCGTCAAGTGTGGACTTTCGTTCAAGAATCACAAATACTATTTGAAGGCTTGTTCATGTTTGCCTTATCCTAATTTCAAATATTTCATGCTTGTCACGTAGTCTGGCATTATCTTCAAAGTTCTGTAAATCGGATGTTGAACTAGAGTATCTTTACCGTCCCATCGCTTGACTTTGCATCTTTTCCCTTTTACACAATGTTGTTAAATAGTTGAATGCTGATTTAGTTCGGTTATTCTATCAATTTTGCCATCGTAAATGCGTTCTCTGACTAAATATACTAAACTTTATGAATAAAGCATCATTGATGGAACAGTTAATGCTACAAATGGGGACCAAAAAGGATTAGAAATTACCTGAACTTTGTCACAACTGCTGTAGTACTTTGACTGTTTGCTCTTAAAAGAATACTGTGAATTCTTGTGATTTCGGTTTCCGTGTTATGGGAAAGAATTTGCACAATTTTTACCTAACTAAACCGAAGTCTGATAGTTGGCACATTCCTTTTCAAAGTTTTGGTCGGTTGGACAGAATTTCGAGCTAAACTGAAGTCTTTCATTTGCCGTTTACCTCATGCATTAAAAACCAACTCTCCACATTTCTGACCGCGTTTTTTGCTTCAGACATCACATAATCAGACCGGACCGCGTGTGAGCAGACCAGTAGAGCTGATCGACGACAACAGCGGTAGAAGTGAATTGGAATCCACTCCGCTCATCGAACTTGTGAAAGACGGTGTTCTCAAGCCCGTAAAAAATTACCTTCAGTGTCATCCGACGGCTGTCGGCGAGGAAGATCCAGATGTAAGTGATCCGAGAAACTTCTGCCACTTTTGTGAATGGGTATAGATCGGTGATGCCTAAGAATAAAGCGCTACCCATTTTTCTCAGCTGACTGTGAAAGAAAAATTGTAAACATTCTATTGCCTTAGTTTTTTGTAACCTTGCTTTTGCCTACAAAATGGGTGACTTTTAGACGTGACCTAACTGTTTCATGCACCTTTTAATGGTCTTTCTGACAGCCGTAAAATTTCACTTCGAGGATATTGGCGAATTGAGCCATAATTGTAACCTCACCTTACTAAGATGTGGCTGTATTGGTCTACTTACTAGCGCATAAGGTAGAAACGATGATTAAATCCATGGTGGCAAGATTTGGTACAGCATTTGTAGCTGCTCATTTTCTAATGGCGACAGAACTAGTTTCGCAGTAGCATTAGAATCTTCTTTTTGAAGGGTGTATCTGTTTCCCCTGGTGCAGTTCAGTACGAACAGAAAAAACCTAATAATATTGACACTAAGCTCTGCATATCAATTGCTTTTATGTCCGTAGTTCCTATAGCTACAGTTGATAATTTTAATTGCTAAAATAACCGCATTCTATTTCTTATGCCATGTAACGTATTTTAAGTAAAGTTATGTTCAAATATGGAGGGAAACACGAAATGATATTGCTCTGCTCAAAAAAGAATGGACGTCTTGCCATTTATTTTTAGGCCATTATTTGGTAAAATCACAGTCTGGCTTAA